TACTAATAATAATAATCTTTATTTCTACAAGTACATGTACAAGGTATACAGGCCTAGCTGACATTAGTGACATACTACTGTATAGAAAGTCCCTTGTTATGCTGAGCATTTCGGGCAAATTAGGTCAATTTTGTCCCAGGATGCAACCCAAGCCAGTCGACTAACATCCAGGTACCTATCTACTTTTAGGTGAATATGGACAGCAGGAGTCTTAAGGAATCAAGCCGAATGCTTCCACCAGTACCAGGGATCGAACCACGGACCTCATTGTGTGAGCTGAGTGGACTACCAACCAAGGTACAAACTTTGCAGCAAGATGTTCTGGACACTGTGTGTGAGCAATTTTATGAACGTGATTTAATGGCTCTGTTGTTGTCGATAGGCTCTAAACCCAATTAGGCAAGCAAACCCCACCAAGGTTCTTGGGATAAGAATTTTCAACCTCTCCTCACCAGGTGCTACATGTATTAGTTGACCATGATGACACTAATGGTGAACCCAATGTTTGGGTCAATTGACCATGATGACACTAATGGTGAACCCACTGTTTGGGTCAATTGACCATGATGACACTAATGGTGAACCCAATGTTTGGGTCAATTGACCATGATGACACTAATGGTGAACCCAATGTTTGGGTCAATTGACCATGATGACACTAATGGTGAACCCACTGTTTGGATTAGTTGACCATGAAGACTCTAATGGTGAACCCAATGCTCGGGTCAGTTGACCATGATGGCACTAATGGTGAACCCACTGTTTAGATCAGTTGCCCATGATAACACTAATGGTGAACCCACTGTTTAGATCAGTTGCCCATGATAACACTAATGGTGAACCCACTGTTTAGGTCAGTTGACCATGATAACACTAATGGTGAACCCACTGCTTGGGTTAGTTGACCATGATGACACTAATGGTGAACCCACTGTTCGGGTCAGTTGACCATGATGACACTAATGGTGAACTCACTGTTTGAGTTAGTTGACCATGATGACACTAATGGTAAACCCACTGTTTGGGTCAATTGACCATGATGACACTAATGGTAAACCCACTGTTTGAGTTAGTTGACCATGATGACACTAATGGTGAACTCACTGTTTGAGTTAGTTGACCATGATGACACTAATGGTGAACTCACTGTTTGAGTTAGTTGACCATGATGACACTAATGGTAAACCCACTGTTTGAGTTAGTTGACCATGATGACACTAATGGTAAACCCACTGTTTGAGTTAGTTGACCATGATGACACTAATGGTGAACCCACTGTTTGAGTTAGTTGACCATGATGACACTAATGGTAAACCCACTGTTTGAGTTAGTTGACCATGATGACACTAATGGTGAACCCACTGCTTGGGTTAGTTGACCATGATGACACTAATGGTAAACCCACTGTTTGGGTTAGTTGACCATGATGACACTAATGGTAAACCCACTGTTTGGGTCAGTTGACCATGTTGACACTAATGGTAAACCCACTGTTTGGGTCAATTGACCATGATGACACTAATGGTAAACCCACTGTTTGGGTCAGTTGACCATGATGACACTAATGGTGACCTTTTGGTTATTGCAGATACACTAATGTAAACCCACTGTTTGGGTTAGTTGACCATGATGACACTAATGGTGAACCCACTGTTTGGGTTAGTTGAAATGTGGACACTAATGGTGAACCCACAGGAGGCGACCCCGCTGTGTCCCCCTGACTTCCCTCTTCTCATATGTAATCCCCAAACCCCCTCCCCCTTACTCATTCAGCCCAAGTCGCAGATTCATGAGAAACCCTAACGTTAACATTTTATAACCTTCCGAAAAATCCTTCGCCATCCTCCTCCCATACAGTTCTCTGTTACGACACATCGTACGATAAACCGTTACCGCTAGTACTCGCCTCCGCACCTCACAAACCCCCTCCCCCTCATCACCCACAATATATATATATATAATCCACAATTATATAATCCAAAGCTCTTGTGACGCACTCGTCGAACCCTCCCACATCTAGGCTTAGTGCACACAGAACCGACACCCCTCGGCCCCCCACCCTCTGTACCAATACCTAACACCCTCCAGTCCCTCACAAAAGTATACTGCATGGAACGCCGTCTCATCTTCCCCACAGATTCCGCACCTCCCGCCCTCAATTACCCTTCTGGTTCTTAGTACCTCCCCCGACGGTAGTATGCCATGCAGAAAACGATACGTTACCTCCCTCACCCAAGGCTTTAATTTCAGCTTGCTAAACCTATATCAAATACTCTTCCACGTGTACATGGGGAACAATCCCTCAACTGGTACAACAATCCTCCCTGCAAGCAACCTACACAAAACCCCTATTCGAATTTTCCTGGGTTCTCTAACCAACATCAAAGCCCTCAAAACAGTTTCACATTCCCTCAACTCCACACCACCATACAACTTACCCAACCGATCATGTACTTTTTTCAGCTGCCCTCCCCTCACTCCTTCGCGCAAAACCTCCCATTTAAGAAACACACATTTAACCCTCCTTCTCAGATCCATCAACCCCAACCCACCCTGGCGCACAGGTAACATTACAACCTCTCTCCTCAGCCAATAGCACCTTGAACCCCACAAAAATTTAAACACCCGTCTCAGAATTCCCACAATCGCCGTTCCTGTTATTGGGAACACGGCTGCTACGTGCCAAACCTTACTATACAATAACACATTTATTACAATCACTCTTTGCACGAGAGTCAGATGATGAGGTTGCAATGCACCCAGACGCTCCAGGATTCTTTTCATCAACCTCTCGAGCAGCGTCCAAGTCATCCTTATAGATGATACCACAAATTTTTAAAGACACCGTTTGTTTCCTCGCAAATTACACCTCCCCCCCCTCCACCCAATAACCCAACCCCATGATCATTGACTTCTCACTATTTACCTGCACCTCTGTTGTACTTCCAAACAATTGCACATCATCCAAAACCCCCAACGCCATCCCTTCCCGAACCAGGACTGTTGTATCGTCTACATATCCTATTATTCCAGGCCACACTTTCCCTACCTCCCCCACACCTCCACTCGTGTCACATACACAACGTTCAACCATTCTATAGAAGGGGTCCTGAATGCATGCAAACAATATTTGTGACATGGGACACCCCTACCTAAGTCCCCTACCCATTACAATCTCCTGCCCCAAGCATCCATTAATCTGTACCCTCATCTTAGCATGATGACACTAATGGTAAACCCACTGTTCGATCGCGTCGAGGACATCCTTGGCAGGAAGTCATAAATTTTGTTTTAAAGAGGATCTGTGAGATCTAAATAAAATCTTACATACTCAAAGTCAAGCAGTGTGGGTTCATTCTTTTGGTTATTTCAGATCTACATTATATAGTAGTTCAAATTTTGTTAATAAAAGGAGTCGACTAAATTTAGGTATATAATTACTGTAGATGAGGGGCCCGCATGAATTACGATTGTTATTGTTTTATTCGTCAGGATCCAGACCCAGTGTCTCTTGACACGGCTCTTGATATTATAGATGACCCGTTATGAATTAGTAAACTTGCCCATTCCTCTTTATTTTTCCTCTTGTGTACAGGCAGGCTGAGGGGAAAGATTCTCTCAGAGGCCTGATATCTGGAGTATACCTGGAGAGGGTTTTGGGGATCAGTGCCCCGCGGCCTGGTCTGTGGTAGGTAAACTTCACGGCCAGATAGGTAAACTTCGTTAGGTGATATATACGACAAAACATTATTAGAGAAATATAACTAGTTTCAAAGTTCTGAGTAAAATTGACGTGTTACAACTGAACGGTGTGTCAGTTCCTGTGAAATCAATGAGTACTTTTGAAATCTTAGTGGTATATTAAAGAATGATGTTTCCCTCTCAGCGAAAATGTAAATTTTTTTGGCGATACAATATCTTTCTGATTTATGTACCATAATTACGGAATGTTTCGCTCCTCCAGCTGAAATATTAGACTGAGTTCACGCTCCTGTACTTGCATCTGTATCCATGTCTGGATTACTATGAATTTTAAGAAGAACAACTCGAAATAGACTGATGTCACTATAATGGCCAGAGCTTGCTACCACTTGCAGCTCACAATCAATCAATCAATCATACAAGACTGCCATCCCCACGAACACCTTTGTGGGGAGGGGCAGATGGCAGACCAGAGGCCTAGCTTCTCCCTGCGAGGCCCGTGAGGGCGGGGTCTGTGGCTAGGCTGGGGACACTTGGTCCCAAAGATGAGGGGGTACTTGTACCTCCTCCCATGGGACACTTAGGTCTCGGGACACTCTCTAGATAGGGAGCCAAGGCCGGGTCACCACTATTGAAAGAGACCCGGGCCGGGTGTTTTGGTTATTGTGTGGTTTACATGTAATAAAATACTAATTACTGCCATTTCCACGAGCCTCCCCTGGGGTGGGGAAGATGGCAGACCAGAGAGGCCTAGCTTCTCCCTACGAGCCCCATGAGGGAGGGGAATGTGGCTAGGCCTGGGGACAGTTGGTCCCAGAAGATGAGGAGGTACTCGTACCTCCTCCCATGGCAGACACAGGTCTCAGACACTCCCAGAACGGAGCCGAGGTCGGTCACCACCTGGAAAAGACCCGGACCGGGAGAGTACTGGAGACTCAGGAAGTAGACTGACGTCCATTTAAAATTATTAACTTCTGGATTCAGATATTAAAAGTAATGTATTAAAACTGTATCTTACTAGTTTCTTTTTTTCTTTTTCTTTTTTTATATAGATAACTTTAATTGCTCAAAATATTAAACTTTTGTAATAGTAAATAAAACCCTAGCAAGTCATTAAACATTTATTTATTTAAATAATAAAAATAATCAAATATATAATTAAAATGACCTAAATTGAATTTATACTAAAAAAAGTAATTATACATTAGATACGATATTTTATAATTATTATTTATAAATAGGTCAATAAAAGTAAATACACTAAATTTTTAAAGGGACACAGGGGTAAGCCAGTGGAAGGCCTCGGTCAGATGACCTAAAGCTCCAGCGGGTCATCGTATGACTAAGACGTCTGCTCCCTGTTATATAACTCTAGCCTTCACTACTTCAATATTCATATGTAAGCTACAGGTACAAGCTTCTTGAATGTGTTCATCTGAAGCTTCTGGGCCTCTTGAAATTATTGGTCTCCAGCTCCCGCACCTTTTGGGCGGGTTGGTTTATAGTTCGTCACTGGGTGGCTTTAAATAAAGTGTGATGGGTATAAGAGTGGGTGTGAGCTAGATTTGCCTAGCAATGGGCCAGTAGGCCTACGGTAGTGTTCCTTCATTTTTAAGCAACTGTCCATATATCTCTAAATGGAGTCGAGCTTCATTTTCATTGTCTATTAATAGTTTTGCTTCTTAATACCCTTAACCATTATTTTGGGCAAAGTTGTTTCTATCATAAAGACAACATTCATAAAATATGAAACCAAAACCAAATTTGATAGATCATTCAATCCTAATTGTCAAGATTCGATACCAGTCTTTGTTTCCCCTATTAGACCCAGGAACTGTAGATCAACACCAGTGATATACACAGATGTACCTATAGACCAGCACCTTAAACAGACCCAGGAGCTAGAATTTAACCCAAACACCAACCAATCCGTAAACTGGCGGGTAATACAACAGCGGAAGGACTTGGTCAAATAACCAGAACCCTCTGAGGAGTTGGGCATCATGTGGATGGAGAAGCATGTAGGTGTGTAGTGTGGATGTGACCTAGCATGGGCCAGCAGGCTTACTAGACCTGTCTAGCATGGGCCAACAGGATTACCAGACCTGTCTAGCATGGGCCAGCAGGCTTACCAGACCTGTCTAGCATGGACCAGCAAGCTTGCCAGACCTGTTTAGCATGGGTTAGCAGGCTTACCAGATTTGTAAGAAACTACCTGCATGAGGTTTATAGAGCATTACCTGAATTGTTACATGTAAGTAATTTGGGTGACTAAGTGGGACTTAGTCACAGTAGGTCACAGGACTGTCACTCCTTCGATGCCACTCCTTCACCACTCTCATAAAAAAGCTTGACCTGACATTAAATTAATAATTACAATATTAAATATTAATACAAATAATGGTGAATTATAAAACAGTGTGGACTGTATATGATTTTAGGACCTGACTGTTAGAAATGGTTTACGGAAATATTTTTACCGAGACTAGGAGAGGTTTTCTCCTAACCATGTCATTAGAACAACCAATTTTATACACATTAAATTACCATTTATACTGTATTTGAATCATCCCATAATGCTTACCTAACAAACAGAATGCTACTGGCCAGTGAGAAATCTAAATGAAAGGACTAATGGCGTACATACTGGATGTGCTGCATGATGACGCCTCATTATTTCCGCTGTCACCACCTAATTCTGGAGGCCCCGCAAATTCTCTGCCCCTGTTCTTTAGTGGGAACATTAGAAAGATTCCCTTTATAAATCAAGGCTGGAACACCCCATTATGGCCTCGATGACACCGGATTATTAGACGATCGTAACATCCCGTGTACACACATTAAATTAACTATGGAGTCCTCCTCCTGTATCACTCTGCGGCCACTACACGCCCTCCTTTCCACAAAATTTCTTAAAGGGTCAAATCAGCTTCACATTTAAATACACAATTATTATATTATTCAAAAATACACTGAATTTAGGAAAATTATAAAAATTTTTCCTCAAGACCTGTCTAACATGGGCCTGTAGGCTTACCAGAACTGTCTAGCATGGACCAGTAGGCTTACCAGACCTGTAGAGAATGGACCGGTAGGCTTACCAGACCTGTCTAGCATGGGCCAAGAATCTTGCTAGATCTGTTTAGCATGGGCTAGCAGGATTACCAGACCAGTCTAACATGGGCAACGAGGCTTGCTAGACCTGTCTAGCATGGGCCAGCAGGCTTACCAGAACTATCTAGCATAGGCCAGCAGGCTTACAAGAACTGTCTAGTATGGGCCAGTAGGCTCACCAGACCTGTCTAGCATGTGCCAGGAGACTTGCTAGACCTGTCTAGCAGGCTTACTAGATCTGCCTAGTATGGGCCAGTAGGCTCACTGCAATGTTATATTCTGTTCTTATATTTTTTATGTGACTAAGGCGGCGTCAAGAGAGATTTTCCCACTGTTCCTGAAAAAGTACCACGTACATGGTCGTGGGTCCGTGGAATGTACCGTGGGTGAGCTACTAGCGTGGATGCTTGCCGAACTTATCGTAGAAGTGGTCGGTGGGGACATTGGTGGTAAGGAGGTGGTTGAGGCGTTCCTGCTGAGTGCGCTGATCCATCGCCAGACGCTGGTTCTCCACCTTCACCTGCTCCTCCAGGTTCCTGCCACACACATACACACACAAACATGAAAGAAGGGAGAGACATATCTTTCATAGCATATAGTCAGTCAATAGTTCATGGCCGCGTTTTCTTTCTCTTATGTAAATTCTCCAATTTTAAGTGGGTTATGCAACTGAGACAGTTATAATTTGGGCCTTTTGGGAAAAAGCATATTTAGGTAATTACCCCGTAAAAAAACCGAACTCAACGTAACCTAACTTAGAGTTGAACTACTAATCTAGATTTGGTTAGGCTGGATTGATTACATTTTTATACAGATTAGGAAAAAAAAACTTTTATTCTTAATCCCAATTTATCCTGTTACCTGGAGTTTACCTGGAGAGAGTTCCGGGGGTCAACGCCCCCGCGGCCCGGTCTGTGACCAGGCCTCCTGGTGGATCAGAGCCTGATCAACCAGGCTGTTGCTGCTGGCTGCACGCAAACCAACGTACGAGCCACAGCCCGGCTGATCAGGAACTGACTTTAGGTGCTTGTCCAGTGCCAGCTTGAAGACTGCCAGGGGTCTGTTGGTAATCCCCTTAGTGTGCTGGGAGGCAGGTGAACAGTTCCCGACCCCTGAACTTATTGTATGGTCTCTTAACGTGCTAGTGACACCCCTGCTTTTCATTGGGGGGATGGTGCATCGTCTGCCAAGTCTTTTGCTTTGATAGTGAGTGATTTTCGTGTGCAAGTTCGGTATTTAGTCCTCTTGGGATTTTGCCAGGTGTATTATATAAATGTATCTCTCCCTCCTGCGTTCCAGGGAATACAGGTTTTGGAGAATTTACATAATAATCCATCAACACGCTTAAAAAGCAGCCGCAAACTCGATATAAACCACGGGATTATTAATTTAATATACGTGCTGCAATTTCCATCAACCTCAGCCAGATTGCGCTGTGGGCTGCCGGTGCGGCCAGACGCCCACTCCCTGACCCTGGGGATTCACAGAGCCTCCGCTGGTATGTCAGGGCGACCCACAGGGCGCCCCCTCCAAGTATTCGGAAGCAATCCAGAGAACTGAGAGTGCATATCCACGGTCTACGCTTAGGGCATCCCACCACGGGTATCCCACCACTGCGCGGATTGTTGAACGGGCACGAGAGGAGCTCTGTGCCCATTGTGACCGAATGGTTCCGAAACCCTTGGTGCACTACCTGTTACACTGCCCGGCTACGATGCCCCTTCACCGTAGACACTTCCCAATGACCCCAGTGGGGCAAGCCCGGGAGGATGAGGCAGCACATCTTGTGTACTTAGCTGTCAGGGACTTGGAAACCTTACTCCCAGTCATTGCACGTCACCCCACCCCCCCTCCCACTGAAGTCGCTGTGCGAGCCTGCTTTGGGCCTCTATTGCACCGCACACCAGCAGCTGTTAGTGCACACTAACTTTTGGTGCGTCACTTAGCCATAGAGCCGGAGAGGTACACCCCCCCCTTCCCGCTGAAGAACTGCCACACATGTACAAGAAAAGCTAAACGACGCTTCCCTACCCGGGGAGCCAATGCCGGGTCACCAAATTGGAAGAGACCCGAGCTGGGATCCATACCGGCAAATCAAATAGAATAGAATAAAATTTAATATAATAATAATGGTTGCAAATGGCCATTATTTTTAAAGGGGTGGACCGGTAAGCCAGCTGAAGGCCTCGGTCAGTTGACCAAAGGTGGGTCATCATATGACTAAGACCCGCGTCAACGCTTCTGTTTCCTGACAAACCTTACCTAACCTTAATATATTAATATATATATTAATATATATATTAATATATATTAATATATATATGGAAGCCCCCACCAAGAAGGTCAAGGACACTGTGGAGACTGCTGTATCTGCCGACCTGCCACTAGTTCAGACGGCAGCTGCTACCCAAGGAGACCTGGTAAGGGCGGGACCCTCAGGACACTGCCGCATCAGTGCACGCATGCAGCTCTCCCAGGTGGACATAGGGGTCTTGGGAGGAACCCAGGAGATTGTGGCTACTCCTCCATTGGCGGGGATGGGGCCACACCAGGTACCCACCCCAGTAGCGTCTGCACCACAGAGGATGGGGAATGGCTGACTCCACGTGGACGAAAGAATTCCCGCTCTGCTCGGGTACAAACAACCGTTGCATTCAACAAATTCAAGGTTCCCAGTTATGGGTTTGTGAGATATCTGGAGAGCATACCCCACCTCAAGTTTTGCTGCGAGTTCACTCTCAGGAACGAGATTCTGGTCATTCCTCGGGACAAGGATTCATACGAGGAGTTAAAGGGGCTGGTTGTGACGCATCCTAGCATGGAGGAACTGGTTGCTCGGGAGAAGATATACAAGGGGATGCTCATACACGTCCCTGTGCCCTCCCATTGGACATCATTTTGGAAGTGCCCAATGTTGTCAAGGCAGACTCACTGCCTGGATGAACAAGGTGCCCACCCGACAGGTGCCACTGGGAAGCGTCGCGGTGTGGCTCGTGCACACCCAGACCCCCCAGAGGAGGCAGAACATCTGGTGGAACTTTTCACCTCCAGAGCAGCTATGGCTCAATTGCCTCAGGATCTCCAGGGCCTCCAGGCCACCCTCCTTCCTAGAAGGATGATGGCAATCCAAGCGGCATGCCGGGCAAAGGACGACACCGATGAAGACTTCACTGACCAGGAGCTCCAGGTAGCCTTCACATCTAATCAGGACACTGTGCCAGGGTATGAGTGTCACCTATGGCATGATCACTCGGTCTGGCCATTCTGGTCACTAAGCTGTCCTGGGGGTCATCAACCGGACTTGGAGAGCCAGCAGACTCCCTGCTGTATGGAAGAAAGCCGACATCATACCAATTCTTAAGCCCAGGGATCCTGGCAGTGTGAGACCCATCTCCCTCACCAGTTGCATCTCCAAGGTGTCTGAGAGGATGGTGTTGGAGCAACTGAGGTGGAAGCTTGGCCCTCCTCATTAACACCTCTATGGATTCACCAGAGGAGTGGGCACATTCGAAAGCCTTACCATCCTACTGGCCAGCATTGGGTCGGACGCCCAAGCCCACATTGTTGTCCTTCTCGACTTCGAAAAAGCTTTCAAGTTAGCCAGTGCTCCTGCCATCCTTGTACTCTTGGCCCACAGGGGAGTTAATGGCAGGTTGCTTGCATGGCTTCGATCCTATCTCGAGGAGAGGTGGGCCCGGGTGCATTTCCAGGGGCATGCCTCTTCTCTCAAGACCCTGGGAAACGGCACTCCACTGGGTGGGGTGCTTAGTTCCGCCTTGTTCAATGTAATGATGCACCAGCTCGTGTGCCTGCCTTTCTCCACAGGCACGTTCCTGCTCAGCTATGCCGATGACCTGGCACTTGTCGTATCCAGGAAGCGCCAGCTGTTGCAGCGCGCCCAGGAGACCTCGATCTGCTGGCTTCCACTTGCTGTCATCTGGGGCTCAAGATATCTGCAGCGAAATCCAAAGCCATGATCCATCGCACCAGGGAACCCAATCAGAGGCTGCAAATCCTGGGCATGGGTTCACAGCTATAGGTACCTTGGCATCTACATTGACAGGCACCTCACTTTCCAGAAACTTGTATGGCACATCAAAGAGAGGACTTTGCAGAGGGTCAGGGCAATGAGTGCCATGGCCAACCCTAGGGTCGGGGCCAGCCTCGAGGTCATGAGGTTGTTCTACATATAGGCTGTACGCTCGCTCATCGACTACAGACCACTTGCTCTGGTTCACATCAGGCCGACCAACATCAAGTCTCTCTAGAGAGTGTGATCCAGAACACAGCTGTATGGGCCATGCTGGGGCGCCTAGGTGGGCTAATGCAGTGACTCTGAACTTCGAGGCGCAACTGCAGCCCCTTGAGGACAGGATCCAACTTGTAGCTGCCAAGAGGATAGCAAAGTACCTCCGACTCCCAGGGTCTGACAAACTGATGAGGGATTTAAGGGTCTGCCAGGTACATGACGTAACAGTGCACCCCTGCTGCCGATGGATGTGATCAGTTGCAGATACCACACAGAAGCTCCTGCCCATGCCATTGCTCGAGGCAGGAGGCTGTGACAGACCAGCAGCGAACTACACGGTACCACCCCCTTGGGTGCCAGAGCTGATGGTGGTGCACTGGTCAGCCCTACCAGGCAGCACATTCTGCAACGACTTGCTTCGGCTAGCACTGCGAGTGCGGAAAGCCCTGGGTGTGTGCTCCAGAGACTCAAAGGCAGGCGTCACAGCTGCTGGGATGCTCCACAACTATCTGGCAGCAGGTTGGCGCCTCCTGGACCATTGCACTGTCCTCCAGGCTGAACTCTGTACTATCCAACAAGCTCTGCAGCATGCAATTGCAGATCATCAGACTTCCCCATCATCCATGTTGATTCCAAGTCAGCTATCCAGGCAATTATGCACAGGGAGCCAAGGGACAACTTATACTTAATCACATCCATCCGGAGCGACATGCAGACGCTCATGGCCCAGGGATGCAGAGCCACCATCAACGCTTGAGGCACAGCCATGTGCTGCAATCTCCATCAGCGGCAGCCAGATTATGCTATGGGCTGCCAATGTGGCCAGGCGCCCACTCCCTGACCCTGGTGATTCACGGAGCTGCCGCTGGTATGACAGGGCGACTCACAGGGCACCCCCTCCAAGTATTTGGACACAGACCAGGGAACCGCCTATGGTTAGGGTATCTCACCACTGCACAGATCGTTAATAAACGGGCAAGAGAGGAGCTCTGTGCCCACTTTGACCGGATGGTTCCAAAACCCCTGTTAGACTGCCCAGCTACGGTGCCCCTTCACCGCAGACACTTCCCAATGACCCCAGTGGGACAGACCCAGGAGGATGAGGTGGCACATCTAGTGTACAAAGCCATCAGAGACTTGGAGACCTTACTCCCAGTCATTGTACGTCACCCCCTATCCCCCGCTGAAGTCACTGTGAAGGCCTGCTGAAGGCCTCCATTGCACTCCACACCAACCACCATTAGAGTAAACTAACTTTGGGGACATCATTTGTCCATAGAACCGGAGGGGAACCCCTCTTCCACCGAAGGACTGTCACGTATGTGAGAGAAAAGAAGGTAAACGACACTTCCCTACCCGGGGAGCCAGTGCCGGGTCACCAGATTGGAAGAGACCCGGGCCAGGATCCATACCGGCAAATCACCTAGAATAGAAGAATAGAATAGTACTCGGGCTGAGATATTACAGGCGAGCCTACTGTTTAAATGAAATAACACTATTAAGGCAAATCACTTAGAATAGTGTAGTAACATGCGGTGCTTATAGCCTAATGGTTATAATCATAACTCTGATTCCTAAAGAGGTGGACCGGTAAGCCAGCGGAAGGCCTCGGTCAGATGATCAAAAGCTCCAACTGTGGGTCATCATATGACTAAGACCCACGTCAGGAAACATTTGTCTTGTTTCCTAGCAAATTTTACCTAACCTAATGTTGTATTTTTTTTTACTTTGTAGGTTAAATATATATATGCATATATATATATATATATTATATTATATATATATATATATATATATATTATATTTTATATTATATATATATATAGCATATTATATAGATACTATATATATATATATATATATATATATATATATATATATATATTTATATATATATTTATATATAATATATATATAAACTCTATATATATATATATTATATCATATATATGCAAAACAACACTCTGAAGATAGAGAAATTCCAAGCGCTTTCGTGGCTACTCACATTATCAAGGACTATATGATATAGTTCCTTGATAATGTGAGTAGCCACGAAAGCGCTTGGAATTTCTTTATTCTTTCAGAGTGGTTTTTGATTTATTAATCATATATATATATATATATATATATATATATATATATATATATATATATATATATATATATATATATATATATATATATATTATATAATATATATATATTATTATATATATATATATATATATATGTTATATTATTATTTATGTGTGTGTGTGTGTGTGTGTGTGTGTGTGTGTGTGTAAGTGTAAATGTAGAAAGTTGAAAGTGAACATAGAAAAGAGTAAGGTGATGAGGGTATCAAATGATTTAGATAAAGAAAAATTGGATATCAAATTGGGGAGGAGGAGTATGGAAGAAGTGAATGTTTTCAGATACTTGGGAGTTGACGTGTCGGCGGATGGATTTATGAAGGATGAGGTTAATCATAGAATTGATGAGGGAAAAAAGGTGAGTGGTGCGTTGAGGTATGTGTGGAGACAAAAAACGTTATCTATGGAGGCAAAGAAGTATAGTAGTACCAACACTCTTATATGAGTGTGAAGCTTGGGTTATAAATGCAGCAGCGAGGAGACGGTTGGAGGCAGTGGAGATGTCCTGTCTAAGGGCAATGTGTGGTGTAAATATGATGCAGAAAATTCGGAGTGTGGAAATTAGGAGAAGGTGTGGAGTTGATAAAAGTATTAGTCAGAGGGCAGAAGAGGGGTTGTTGAGGTGGTTTGGTCATTTAGAGAGAATGGATCAAGGTAGAATGACATAGATAGCGTTTAAATCTGTAGGGAAAGGAAGGCGGGGTAGGGGTCGTCCCCGAAAAGGTTGGAAGGAAGGGGTAAAGGAGGTTTTGTGGGCGAGGGGCTTGGACTTCCAGCAAGCGTGCGTGAGCGTGTTCGATAGGAGTGAATGGAGACGAATGATATTTGGGACCTGACGAGCTGTTGGAGTGTGAGCAGAGTAATATTTAATGAAGGGATTCAGGGAAACCGGTTATTTTTATATAGCCGGACTTGAGTCCTGGAAATGGGAAGTACAATGCCTGCACTTTAAAGGAGGGGTTTGGGATATTGGCAGTTTGGAGGGATATATTGTGTATCTTTATACGTATATGCTTCTAAACTGTTGTATTCTGAGCACCTCTGCAAAAACAGTGATTATGTGTGAGTGAGGTGAAAGTGTTGAATGATGATGAAAGTATTTTCTTTTTGGGGATTTTCTTATATATGTATATATGTATATACATTGTTTCCAACGAATGAAGGACCGGCGGTACATGCGCTCTGCCAGACGTTATCCTCCCCTTTTTATGCGCTGTTCTTATTGGCTGTCTACTTTGAGCTAAGATTAACTTTGTTCTAAAATATCTTTAAATAAGTATGTGACTTAGAGCGTTCATAAACTAACGTTGGTATATAATACAAGAGTTTTAACTATGATCGATATGTTTCTTTGATAAATGTCCTAGTACTAGATACATGTTTTATTTACGTAGACGAGAAGATAATTAGGAAGGGGGAGGAGAAAGAAGAAAAGAAAGAGAAATAGTGATAGAGAATATGGAAGGAGTAAGAGAAGGAAATGGGAAAAGTAAGAGAAGATAGGACGAGTAATAAGAAATGGGAGGAGTAAGAGATGAGAGGAGCAAGAGAAGGAGGAAGTGGGAAAACGGTGATGTGATCCCACATCACAGACTCGTAAATGAGTTGTGATCCGCACGAGCGCCTCACTTAACACAGTTTGTGAAGGGATGAGAGTGGATTTGCTACCTTCACTGAATGTATGTATGTGTGTGTCTATGCATGGGATATATGAACATTCTGGTCTAGGAATAGTTTTGTTGATGAATGCAACAAACTGCCAAGTAACATCACTGAGGCTAATACATTTTAGTTAATGTTATTTTAACAATAAGTTAGACAAATATGTTAATGATAGATAGGATGAGAGAAGGTACAGCTTAGCATAATCTAATTGGTCTACTGCAGTATTCGTCCATTATGCTCTTATGTGTGTGTAATTATCTTCACTGTGCCTGTGTGATGTTAAGCGTCAGCTCTTGGCTCTATCTCATAACCTTAAATTGATTGTCATACTTTACATTAGGTCTTTGTTATGATACAAGACCTGTACTTGAACTGCTGCTACTTTCCAGCATCCATATTGTTGTCTAGTTTCTTGAAGATTGTTGCTGTGTCTCCCTCCATGGTAAGAATGTAAGTCCCGCTGTTACTCAAGTACCACCTGTCTGACAGGATCCATCTCATGTTAATACACTTCCAGCAGAATTAGAGTTTTCTTACACAATAGAATTTCACCAGGTCTGGAGTTCGATAAATAGGGACGGAACAAGTAAGTTTACTGGGCCAGGAGTGATGGTGGGTGGGACGTCGAGGGTTGGAGAGGTTTGCATGGGGAACGGAGTCAGTTATCTGTGTCTCACTAATTGGGTTGTTGGGTCTATCGAGGTGTAAAGGTGGAAGTCAGCTTGTGCAGAAAAGGGGAAGCAAAGGCTGGGTTAGAGTCGAAGGCTGAAGTAAATGGTACATTGAGTTGAGTCTCACATTACTCATCCATTTCAAGTATTAGTCTCATGACACGCTAGTAGGATGCAAGCAACAGCAGCAGCTCATTTGCATAGTAAACACCTTGGCTCTTATATTACCAGGATGGCAATCCCAAATGCGTTACCCAGGGCTCTTTACCTAAGGAGGTGAAGGGAGCTGGAGGAAGGGAGGATGTAGGGAAACTCACCTGCGGGTGATATGTTCAGTGTGGGTGGCGAGTAGGGCGGTTCTGTCAGCACGGGCGACGAGGTCCTCCCACCTGCTGGCCTCCCTGGCCTCCTGCTCCTCCCGATGCTGGCACACATAAACTTATATTAATTACTGGTAAAGAGAGGAGAAGGGGGAGGTTATAATTGATAGTGCGACATTACAGCTCTGGCGTAAATGTTAGTCGTTATGGATTATACAACAATTATATAAATCACAGAACGGGAGGAGCTGGAACCCATGGCATGCGAGTTGCTTGCCATGGGTTCCAGCTCCTCCCGTTCTGTGAATTGTTTGCAGTCGTGTTATTACGATTCGTAATAACTTTTTGTACAGGCTGTTAAATTAGTTAGTTTTTAAAAGTTAAATCTGCACCGTTGAATTTATAAGGCGTTATTAAGGTTCAATTTTTATCTAAGGTACATAACTATCCACAGAGGCTGTGAGGGAGGAGATACAAGATGTAAGGTTGTTAGGAAGACACATATGCTACAGTTAGCTATCTTTGACAAATGTTTCGCCTACACAAGAGGCTTTTCAGTCTCCTAAAGAAGCCTACTGTGTAGGCGAAACTTTCGGAATAAAGTTAGCTAACTGTTGCATGTGTGTCTTACCTAACAACCTGTCGGTATTTTATACCATTTTAATATTCAAGATGTGAGGCGTCTAGATAAGGCATAAACCAAGAAGGAATACACTAAGGGGAAAAAACTAAGCGGGAATAAATCAAGAGGAAAAAAAAAGAGAGAATAAACCGAGGAGAAAACCAAGACGACATGATAAACCATGATTAAATATATCAAGAATAAAGAGGAGATAAACCAAACCTTCCTCTCAGCTACTTGCTGTGCACGGACGGCTTCTATTTCCTTCTTTTGCTCAGGTGACATGCCCTTCCACCTGTGGAATGAATACTTACATTGCATTATAATTATTATTTTTAAAGGGGTGTACCGGTAAGCTAGCAGAAGGCTTCTGTCAGATGACCAACAAGTCCAGTGGCGGGTCATCATATCACTAAGACCCGCGTCAGGAAACACTTGTCCTGTTTCCTGACGAATCTTACCCAGTGGCGTGCAGAGATCTGATGATCCCCGGGGCCAACTCCTTGATTGTATGCCCCAAAGACTCCTTGATTGTATGCCCCAAATCATTATCTTATTTCCCTCTCTAACTGGATGCCCCCCACCCATTTGGATGTCCGGGGCCACCGCCCCTTCGCCCCCTTCCCCTCTGCACGCCACTGATCTTACCTAACCTAATTTTACATCTGAGGTATCTTTCGTTAGTAATATTCTTGTTTAGGAGATGCCTGTTTGAAGTGGCTTTAACAAATTTATGTATATTAAAAAGAGGATCTGAAATTTTACTTTAAAATATTAAGAAATTTAGCATGAATGGTGGATCCCAATCGTGACATCGTGATGTTCCCATGTCACCCGTGGAATGACCGGGGGACCATCTACAGTACCTGTCGTAATGACACGGTGGGGTCCCAGAGCGCTGCGGGCGACGGTGGGGTCTTCCGTCAGGAAGGATCCCATCACAGCTTTCCTGAGCTCCTGTTGCTCTGTCTTCAGGTCTGCCTCACGTTGAGCTGCCTCGATGCTCTCCCTCGCCCGACTCTGCCCACCCAGAGTCATTATTATTATTATTATTACTATTACTGTTACTTTAATTGACAGGAAAGGACTAAACTCTTAGTGGTCAAACAACACGTGAAGAACAGAGAGTCTCCAATACTCACCAGTGCTGGTTGTACTTCCTGATAGCAAGTTGCTCTGCTCGGCGACACAGTTCCTCCGCCTCTGCCAGCTGCCTGGCTCGCTCACACGCTCCTAGTGACTCCAGTTCCTCCAGTCTAGTCACCAGAAGAGAGGAAGGGAGGTAAAGGAAAGCGAGGCAAAGAGGAAGAAAGACAGGGGGCGAGAAAGATTGGAGGGAAAGAGAGACAAGAGGGGGAAAACAGAATGCAATCAGTCAAATCCCTCTGTGTGTTTGCAGGACTGCACATGATCCACCTGTCACATTTTATTAACTTTGCTCATAAAAAGACGATAATAAGACTTTGAAATCATGCGTAGTCCTTCTGGACGACCTAAGCTTATCCAGTCTTGGAAGTTAAGGATCAAGGGGGGAGACTTAATTATCCACTCTTGCATGGTTAAGGTGAAGACCAATGTGTATGCCAATGATATTATATACTGACAAATATATTAAAATAAAATACGGTTTATGACATTTTTTTGAAACGACATTTAGCCTATCAAATATTTTATTAATTCTTTAAATTGACAATTTTCTCAAAAAACTGCCATACACCGCAGTTTGTCTTACTGCAATAAAGCGCACAATATTTTTGAATATTTAAAAGGGCATAACAAATTTAAATATCAGTTTTTAAGGGGTGGAGGGGTAAGCCAGTGTAAGGCCTCGGTCAGATGACCAAAATCTCCAGTGGTGGGCCATCATATAAATAAGACACGCGTCAGGAAACACATGTCTTCTTTCCTGATGTATCTTACCTAACCAAATCTATCTCACTGAGGGAAAAATACTGGCTTTCGGGCCAACCTTCTTAAAATTTTCCGTATTCATTTCTTCCCCCCTTAAATTTAAATAAATCCCCAATACAAAAACTACCTTCTTTAACCCCCAAGGGACTTTTTTAACCGAAAAATCGTATAAATTTTCCCCCAATCCCTTGAAAACCCCCCAAAATGATCATCAAAGGGGTTGGGCCGGCAGCAGCCTGAATTTAAAAAAACTTCAATATTTTCGGGGGCCCTTTTCCCACTCAAATGATTTTAGAAATTACCCCCAGCATTTTCACCAGTTGGGGGGGAAAAAGGGAAAGTGGGCCCGTGAAAAAAAACTATGGTAGCTGGGAGGGGAGGAAAGGGGGTTAAACTTTAATATTTTTATTTTGTCAGGGGGAAAAAAAACACCCCGCGAGGAACTGAGTGGAGATTTTTCGTCAGTTATCTTCCTCACTTACTTGCCCTTTTCCCCCGGTGTCTTCCCCTACAAAAAGTTCTGTTTGAAAGGCTTCGCTAGATACGGGGGTTTCCGTTGGAAGGTTTTGTTTAAACACAGGGTGCATTTGGGAAAGGTTCACGGGCACAGGGCGTTGGAAGGTTTTCACTGAACAGGGTACAGTTGGGAAGGCTTAAATTTGACACTGGGTAAATTGGAAGGTTACAAAGCACAGGGTACATTTTGGGAGTTTTCCATAAACCAGGGTACATTTGGGAAGGGCTTCCCCGTTTACGCGATACGTTTAATATTTCATAAAACAGGGAATATAGAGAGTTTTAGGTTTCTTTTTTCTGTGGTGTTCTGGGGCGCTGTCTTTTTCTTTATATCTCGGGTTAAAACATTTTTTAAACTTCCACTTTTAATGTTTTATCCCCTTTTCCCCAAAGTTACACGCCCACAATTCCCCCTCTCTTGCCCCCTTCAGTCCCCCAGGCTAACATCCCTCTAAAGCTACACTCCCAGGTCACCCTTTTTTCTCAGTTCCCAGGCCAAAGCTTCCCCCCTACCCCCATCTCGGTCCTTAAACCGTTCTCTTCTCTCCCCTGCGGGTGTCGCCGCCGCTGCTCCTTTTTGTGGGGTTGATGCCAAGTCCTCGTCTGCTCCTTCTGCCCCTTCCCTCCCCTCAAAACCTTCGTCCTCACCGTCAAAACCTGAAGGGGGGGAAAGGGGGTATTCAATCCCTGCAGGTTTTTATGGGGGTAAAACGCCAGCCCAGAAAAATGGGAAACCCACATGTTTGCTGGTGGTTACTCAGAAAAAACATTCGGGTAACAATTCAAAAATTAAAGCTACAATTACCGTGGTTGAAATTAATTCAGAAGTTCCCACAATACCCGGGGTTGAAATTTTTTTCCCAAAAAGTTACCCACAATACCGTGGCTGTAACTTTTCAGAAGTTCCCCACAATACCGTGGCTGTAACTTTTTCAGAATTTTCCCCACAACCCCGTGGCTGAACATTTGAAAAGTTACCCCCTTTTTTCCCCCCGGGGGGCTGTAATTTTTGGGAGAAGTTACCCCCCAAATACGTGGCTGTAACTTTCAAAAATTTACCCACAATCCCTTTGGCGGGAACATTTCAGAAGTTACCCAAACACCGGGGGCCTGTAACTTTTGGGAGAAGTTCCCCAAAAAAAACCCGGGGGCTGTAATATTTGAAATTTACCCACAATACCTGGTTTGAAAAATTTTTCAGAAGTTCCCCAAAATACCGTGGCGTAAAATTTGAAAATTTTTCCCAAAATTTACCGTGGCTGTAACATTTGAGAATTCCCCACAATACCGTGGCTGTAACATTTCAGAAGCAACCCATAATACCGTGGCTGAAAATTTTTGGAAGAAAACCCACAAAAACCGTGGCTGTAACATTTGAGGAAGTTACCCACTTTTACCGTGACTGAAAAAATTTCAAAATTCCCCAAACAAAAACCGGGCGAAACCCATTTCAAAAGAAAACCCAAAATCCCGGGGCTGTAACATTTCGGGAAGTTTCCCCACAATACCGTGGCTGAAACAGTTCGGGAAGTTCCCCCAAAATTACCGTGGCTTAAAAATTTCAGAAGTTACCCAAAAATCCCGGGGCTGAAAAATTTTGGAGAAATTCCCCAAAAATACCGTGGGCGAAACATTTTCAAAAAGTTACCCAAATACCATGGCTGTAACCCTTTCAGAATTTTACCCACAATACCGTGGCTGAAACCCTTTTTGAAAAGGGTTACCCACAATTCGTGCTGAAAACATTTCAGAAGTTACCCACAATACCGGGGCTGTAACATTTGAGAAGTTACCCAAAATACCGGGTTTTGTAACATTTGAAAATTAAACCCCCCAATCCCGTGACTTTTAACTTTTCAAATTTCCCCAATACCGGGGTTTAAACCCTTTTCAAAAATTCCCCACAATACCATTTTTTTTAAACAGTTTCCAAAAGGGTTCCCCAAAAACCCGGGCTGTAACAGTTCGAAGTTACCCAAAATTTCCGGGGCGGGAACATTTAAAAAAAGTTTAAACCCACAAACCGTGGCGGGAACTTATAGAATTTTACCCACAATACCGGCTAAAAACATTTCCCAAAGTTACCCAAAATACCAGGGCTGTAACATTTCAAAAGTTCCCCCACAAAAACCGTGGCTGAAAACATTTGAAAGTTACCAAAAAATACCGTGGCGGAAACCCTTTCAGAATTTTTCCCACAATACCGTGGCTGAAACATTTTTCAGAAATTACCCAAAATACGGGGCTGAAACAGTTAAAGAAGTTACCCACAAAAAACCGTGGCTGTAACATTTCAGAAGTTACCCACAATACCGTGGCTTAAATTGAAAAATTACCCAAATTTCCGTGGCTAAAACATTTTTCGGGAAGTTCCCCCAAAAACCGTGGCTGAAAAAATTTCGAATTTTCCCAAACAAAAACCATGGCTGAAAACCATTTTTTAGAAGTTCCCCCAAATACCGTGGCGGGAACATTTGAAAAGTTACCCAAACCCGGGGGGCGGTAACATTTCAGAAGTTCCCCAAAATTACCGTGGCTGTAAAATTTGAGAATTTTACCCCAAATCCGTGGCTGAAACATTTAGAAGTTACCCACAAACATTGGCTGTAACCTTTTCCCAATTTACCCAAAATTACATACAAACTCACGGGAAGCGTATTTTGGAAAAAAAAAAACCCAATATCCTGGTTCCCAAACAATTTAAAAAAAACCCTTCTTTAACATGTTTAAAACAATTTCCAATAACCCAAAATAAAAAACCCAAAAGGCACAATCCCGTGACTGGAACACAACTACTACAAATACTACTATTTACTACAAACCAAACAACAACAACAAACAAAAAACCCCTACTACTACTACTACAAACAAATACCTACTATAACTACTATTCTATACTACTACTACTTTAATACTATTACTACTCCCAAACAACTAAAACCCAACAACAACAACAACAACAACAATACTACTACTACTACTACTACTAAAACCCACCACCCCCCCCACTACCCCACCTTTCTACTTCCTTTCCTACTACCTCTTTTGTTCGCCCGCCCGCTGGCATTATTTTCCCCCCTCCTTTTTCTTCTTTTTGTTAGTGGGGACGGGAAAATGGTCCAATTTTGGGAAACCGGAACGTCGTCGAAAATTCCTCTCTCTTATGTGCGGGTTTTTTTGTGTAGGGGAAAATCAAATATGTGGATGGCACAGTTCACAAATTTTTCCGCCCAGTACGTCGTTTGGAAAAATTTCCCCAAACTTGCCCACTGACCAGGGTTTGGGAACAACTAAAAAAAAAAAAAAAAAAACACAATCCCATTTTTGGGGAAAACTAAAAAAATAACCAAAATCCCCGGGGTTTGGAAATAAAAATACCCCCACAATCCCGGGGTTTGGAATACAAAAACCCCACAATACCGTGGTTGGAACTACAAATAACCCACAACCCCGGGGTTGGAACACAAAAAAAACCCAAATACCGGGGTTTGGGAATCCCAAATAACCAACAATACCGTGGTTGGAACTACAAATAACCAAAAAAAAAAAAAATTTTTTTTTTTTAACCCGGGTTTTGGAACAATTCGCAACTAACAGAATGTTTTGGAGAGGATACTTCAGAGGGCTTTCGGCCCCTTTTGGATGTTGTCAATTAAAAAGGGAAGACTTTTCATTCCACTTAAAAGCACTGTCTGAGATTTAAAAAAAAAGGGGGGAACTAACAGTGGGATGACAGGACGGGTTTGGTACGACGGTAGATACAAGAAGGTGGTACGGGACGGTACATGACGGGGACAGGGGGTTACTGACGGTAAAATGACAAGAAGGGGGTACTGAGGTAGAGGGACAGGGGAAGGGGGTCTGACGGTAGAGGGCCCGAGAAGGTGGAGGAGGGTTTGATGACAGGACGGTGGTACTGAG